AACAGTTTGACTATCACAATAGACCACATAATCATTTTGCTTCAGTCTTAATTCTAGCAAGAATTATTTCATCCATAATATTTCTTCACAAATATCAATGGTGGCAATATAGTCAATGTTTGTGGTCGAAAGAGCAATACACCTTTGCAGCTTAGACCACCATGACATAGCTTCATCCACAAAAGTAACTACAAAACCTAAAGTGGATTTCTTTGTGCCAATATCTCTACTAATATCAACATCTATATATCTTGCTCGCATAGTTGGACCATCTCTAAAACACAAGCAAACTTTAGAGCTTCCCTTAAAATATCTAAATATCCATTTCATGACTACTCAATCTTCTTTCCCCATATTTGAAATAAATGTACTCATAACTCTCACTACATATGCAATGTCTGGTGTCATGTTCACCATCACATACATCAAGCTTTCAACTATTGAAGCATATGAATTTTTTTGCATCTTATCTTTCTCTTCATCACTTTTTGGACATTGTTCTAAACAAAGTTTAAAGTGATTAGCAAAAAGATAACCAACAAGTTTAGCATTACTCCAACCTTTTTAACACTTTTTCGATGCATCTCTCTTGTGATAGCCATATCTTCTTAGCTTTTCTATTACGAAAGATCTACATCTTGAGGATTTACTTAGCTAGTACCATGACTTTCATTGCAAATGACTTATTCAACTCCTTCAACCTATTAATAATATATCTATCCTTTCCGAGATAAGCATATCATCAACATCTAGTAAGAGCAGAACAAAGTTCTCACCAAACCACTTGACGTATACACAATGATCTGAGGCAGTTCATTTGTATCCATTTTTAATCATAAATGAATCAAACTTCTCATACGACTATCTAGGAGCCTGCTTCAAGTCATACAAGTTCTTCTTCAACCTGCACACAATGTTCTTTGCCTTCATCTTTGAAGCCTTATGATTGTTCTATGTATATTTCCTCATGTAGATCACTGTGAAGAAAGATTATCTTCACATCTAGTTGTTCGACCTATAGGTCAAAACTAGCAGTCATACCTAGAGTAACATGTATAGAAGACATTCTGACCATTGGGAAGAAAATCTCATCAAAGGCAATACCTTTTGTTATGCCTGAAGCCCTTCAAAGCAAGCCTAACTTTGTACTTAGGTTGTGAATAATGTTCTTGAGTCTTCAACTTAAAGACCCATTTGTTCTTTAATACTTTCCTCCCCCTTGGTAAAAGCACGAAGTCATAAGTTTAGTTCTTCTGCAATGCATCCATTTCCTCCTGCATAAGTACTAACCACTCACTTTTATGCTCACTTTCCACTGCCTTTTGGAAACATTCAAGTTCATCTAAATTAGTAAACATAATATATTCATCTAGAGGATACCTTCTAGTTAGTAAACATAATACCTGTTACCCAAAGAACATAAAAGACATGAAATAAGACAATAGTAAAGATTAAAAATACAAAGAACTCTACTGATTGTAGCCCCCTGCTCTTTCTTGTTCCTTTGCTCTATAGCCTTCTCCTTTGCCTTTTTGTACCTCCTCACCTCCTAGCTTCCAGCCCATCATCCTCCTTTAGAGGAGCAAGGGGCCTCTTTTATCCTTCTTTAGATCTAAAAATCTATCATTTAGTTTTGATTTAATTTTTTTTCCTTATTTTTTATCTTAGTATTTGACTCTTATTTCACAGTCCAATAATCTTGTCAAAAATGGCATTTTTAGTATATATAATCATTCATTAATAAGTAACAAAGCATCATTTCATATTTCAGATCAATCTGACAAGTATTTACAAAGAAATCACAATTTTTAGATCATCATTCGTTTAGTTCTGATTTTTCTGACATTTTTCCAATTTTTCTGATCGGTTCCCGCATTTCCTACGATTTTTCGAGTGTTTTCAGTCATTTTCGGGCAGTGCCAGAGTTTTTCGGGCATTTCCAAAGTTTTTGGAGTTTTCCGCCGTCTTCCGCCCGTAAATCCGTCGAACGAATTAACCTGTAGAATATGTAGGGTCCAAACCTAGGTCAGCTGCTTGGCAAGTGGGTCAATGGTCAACTGATACTCGCCGAACTAGTGCTCACCGAAGCTGCGCCCGCCGAACTAGCAGTCTGGGTCAGCGCTCACCGAACCCGCGCCCACTGAACCAGCGGTCTAGGCCAGCACTCGCTGAACCCATGCCCGCCGAACCGGCGGTATGTCGAAATTCAGTCCGACATTAGAAACTTTCACGGAAAAATGGGTATATATGTAAAACCCGACTTAGCCTTTCGACAAGTTTCCAAATCAGCCATTGCCATGGGCCGCGGGAATGGTTGAGTAGCGACCCGCTATGATAAGAAACAAGTATAAAAAAATAATATATAATTATTTAAAATTTTATTTTATTTTCATCATAATAAACTCACAAAAATTCAAAAAATATCTTAAAAACTCCACACAATCCCTTAAAATTCAAAATAATATACAAAACTTACATAAAATTTAGAAAATGTCTCAACGCATTCCATAATTAAAACTTCATATTTAGCTAACATAACTCACGATCCTATTTAACATTTTCTTTTCAAAAATAAATATTAATAAATCAATGTAAATGCATAAAACTTTGTTTTTCTGAAAATCATATCAATGTATATATTTTAACAAAATAAAGTGTAAAAAAAAAATTGCTATCTTTAATCATATAATTTAGAGAATTATCATTGTCCTTTGGTAAAACAAATTGGTAAAGTTGATTCCATGTGCAGATAAACCCTTTGATTTGCCAAAGGGATCTCATTTGGAAATGTTTGGTAAGCGTATTTTATATATTTCATAATTTCTCAAATCGATTACCACTCTTATTCATTAATAGAATTATCTCTGAACATGATTGACATGACTTAGTCATTATATAATAAATCACGTAAATTTAAAATTTATAAAATTAGAAAATACTAATTTTTAGATATTGAGAAGTATTTCTAAACAAATATATAAATTATAATTTAATAAAACTTTAAAAAATAGTGATAATTTTTCAGATCAATCATAGAAATATAATATAATATTAAATAATTTTTCTGAATTTTACTTAAAGAATATAAGTTTTTATGAATTTTATAGTACAAAATAAAAATAAATATATTTAAAATTTATAAAAAAGGGAAATAAGGGTGCAAATGTCAGGATGACATCAGCACTTGACGAATGCGAATTGGGTGAAAATAGAGTTCTATCTGGTGATTCTTACGTAAGTGATTACAAATGATTTAATTGATCAAATTAAGATTTATAAAAGCTGAGAAAATCATAATTGAATGAAGTATAGCTGGTAAATTTAAATCACATAAATTATCACTAAATGAAATAAAAATTAAGTTAAAAGTAGAAAAATAGAGTTACGACCTCATGGTGGCGATGCGTTAGTGATGTACTAAAATCCTGAGCGTTTGGGAAGATCATCATGTAATGTCTACAGCCTCGAAGGCTTTCCTTGAACAAGGATGACGTGGACAATCTTTAGATCTCGTTGTGAAGTCTAGAGATCAATGAAATGGGTCATTGAATCATCTCCGGAGGCTGTCACTTAGCGGAGTGGAAAAATAGCAACTTTGCGGCTCTCTAATGACTGTCACCCGACAAAGAAGAGCTGAATAGAAGTGGAGCTTGTGTTAGGGAGCTTCATCTTCAGGTCCACGCAGCAAGAGAAGGCTATTCATCGCATCCGGTATACTCTCAAGAGGTGGCGAGTCATCTCCTAGTAGATTGTCCTTTTCTTGACGACGGTTTATTCATCGATCAATCAAAGATACTTTACTTGATAGATTTGCGATCCTTTTATCGTGAATTGTTCAAGAATTTTAGTAACAATGCTTCACGAATTGCGTTGACAAGATTTTTGCCGATGATATAGTGATTCTGGTGGCTTAATCTTTCATCAACAATCTACAAGAAAGTCGCGATAATCAGATAAAAAATACGAGTTTTAGCTCTCGGAGGATTTGAACCCACATTGGTTGCCCGCCTTCAAAGCCTTCGGGGGAAGGTGTGATACGAGTTTAGTTTCACATCGTTTGTGCATTGAAGTTTTGGATGAATAAATATTAATATCACATTTCTAAGCAATGAGTCCCTTTTTCCTATGTGTACGACCACTCCTTGCCTCACAACCAGTTGGCCACTAGTGATGTGGAAGGAGAGTGGCGCATACGTGCCCCATCGGTCCTAGCTGCTCGAGCCCCTACTTGTGGCTCCCCTTGACTGCGCTTCCGATCCTCTTGCGGGCCCAAGTGGTTAGTGAGTCCCCCCATTTTGCTATATTTTTATTTTTATTTCTTTTTCTTCATTTATCTCAAAAATAAGACTATAAAAATTATATAAATTTTTAGAAAATCACATAATTAGCCAAAAATTCACACTAATCAACTGAAAACTACTTTTCATACTTTAACATAAATATAAGTTTATTTATCATGATTTAAGGCTAAAAAAATATTATTTACTAATTATTAACTCATGATAATGAAAACTTATCAATGACTCAAAGAGATTTAATATCCAACACAACCAACTTCCTTTGCCTATGCAAAAGGTTCAGCCTTTGGGTTGCGTATTCCTAATTTTTGTCAATAATGCTTGAAATTGTACTTCTATAAGATAAGGTCATTTTGTTCATGTAGCCATCATTGGTAAATAAATATAGCCGCCTTTCCTTGGTCATGTCCTAGTTCATTACATCCTTTGTACAAAATAATCTAGTTTGGCAGCATCACCATGGGTATAAACAAATTGAGATGATGTGTGTACCTAAAGAGGAGAAAAGAGTCTTTTTTGATCTTAAGTCACATTTAGAAAGAGAGAGAGAGAGAGAGAGAGTTGGAGATGAGATACTCTGAATAAAGACACTATATTTTCAAATGAATAAAGAATTTCTATTTTTGTATAAAGAATCATTTCTTCTCAGCAATATACAATGATTTCCTTTTGGAAAAATAATGTTTAATGTTTAATTTTGTCCTATAAAGGCCTCAATTGGCGAATCTTCCTTTCATCAGAGAGCAGCTTTGCAAATCTACATCGTGAAAATGAAAAACGATCAGAAATCTTGAAAAACACGCTGAGAAGTACTGGAACCTTTTTCGTTGAGGGATTGATCTCACCTTGTAAGGGCTTCTTCATTGGTTCCTTCTCCATTCCCAACAGGTTCATATACTCCTGTGTCCAGATTTACTCTTGAAACAGGCTTCTTCAGTAGCTCCTCCCCAGCCCGGACCAGATTCTCTAGGTTCTCTTCGGTAGAGATGTCCGCACTGGCTACATTCCCCATCAACGTATCATCCTGTGTGTTCGAACGAGTTATGTTATTGACATGCCAGTTGACAGGCCATGATAACGAGACCTGTTAATGTCGTTTTCAGAATGCTTCACGCACCTCAATACGAAGATAGTTGGATTCAGAACGGAGGGCTTGGAACACGACGGACAGGTGGATGTCCACCATATCGGCGCTTGATTGAGTGAAGATCTCAACGAGGGGAGTGGACCCTCCATTGAGCAGCCATCCAAGAACCCCCCATCTCCTCGCGAGCCGGGCGCTGTACCTCTTCTCGACCTTCGCCCCCCCTGTGCCCAGCGAAATGAGCAGGATCTTGCGGCAGTCCATGGGTTTGTGAGGTAAATATTTCGGGTTCCTCTTGTGTACCTCCTTCGACACCTCTCCAATCGCTATGAGCGCCTGAGGTTAAGGTCATGTATGAGAAGGACAGAAAGAGAGAGAGAGAGAGAGAGAGAGAGAGAGAGAGAGAGAGAGATCTAAAGAAGATATACTATAAGGGTTCAGGCTTATTACTGGATTATTGGCAGCAACTCCGCCGTCAATGAGGTTGAATTCCTTGACCTTGCCCTCGGAATCCTTGGTTTCGAAGTAATGAGGGGGAAGGTAGGTTGGCGCTGCTGTCGTACCGATGCTGATGTCGGAGAGGAGAGCGTCCATGGAGCTATTGCTCTTCACCTGCAAAATCACCACATTGATTCAGCTTGACTTAAAAGTCAAATGACAGCCAGAAGATGCAACCGCTTTGCCTACCGTTCTAACGAACTGAACGGCAGATAGCACGATCTCACCAACCTTCACACTCTTATGCATGACAATGAAATACTTCTTTTGACGTCGGTATGTATATATATATATATATATACATACCGACCTAAAATTTAGGTGCACCCGCATCAGTCAGCAGATTCGCATCTCAGAATGTCAATGCGGGGATTGAACCTCCGATTACCGTACATGGGAATTTTAAGACTTCCCTTTCACCCATGATTATTCGATACTTTTATATGGTTTAAGGTATAATACAAACGGGTAAAAAAATTGCTTCATGTGTATGCGCGAAGATTTATATATGGATAGTAGAAATATGGATAAATAGAAAGATAGATCGAGAGATGCATGGACCAGTGGTTCGGTATGTAGGTAGGTGGTAGGCACTTAATTTTTTATCTACAATGGATGGTGTCATGAGAATATGTGCAGGCTGACGCCTGCTCGAGGCAAGCCGTGATTCCCGTACGACAGAGGGAGAAACATGGACAAAATAGATGATGACTGGAGCAAAGAGCATACCTCAAAGGATGAGAAAATGGTAGCGCGAAGGGTCTTGATATCGAATGTTGGAATGACGACATTGGTCAACATATGGCGCAACCTCAAGGATCCAAACTTCTCTCTGAGAAGTCTGCAGATGGAGTCTCCGCGGTATTTCGGTCCCCATAGAGCTCCGAAACCCTTTGCGACGGACGCTAATTTACTACTGAAAGTAAGGAGATAGTGAATGAAAGTAAGCAACTGAGAAGGTACTAATAAACACCCATATATATTGATATAGACGTCGATAAAAGATGGATACAGATGTAGATATCATCATCCTCACCAGCTCTTGCTGAAGATCGCGCGGCCTTTGTCGAGAAGGAACGACCTGACGTCACTTGCGGTAAAGAGAGGACGGTTCTCTTCGTCCGGTGCAGCTAGCATGGCAGCTATAATTCCTCCGGTGCCGGTTCCCGCTATCACATCGAAGTAATCTGCCAGCCTCGCCTTCTTCCCGTCCAAAATCTGCCCGTGTCGAAGAAAAACATACTATCTAAGTCAAACTGAAGAAGGTTTCAAGTACACTACGGAAAGAAATAACGGTTTTGATGTATGGAAAGCGAGGGATTGCTTTTTAGGGCTCTGAAATAATTACTCAAGATTGTTGGTCCTGTAGAGCTGGAAAATATTAGAGAAGGGATTAATCAAGTCTATCAGGAGATTAATCAAGTGTATTAGAGAAGGGCTCTGAAATAAAATAGGACGATGCCCGTCGATTGAGTAGATAGAAAATGCGAAGAGAGGAACAGCCTGAGGAAATTAGGAGAGAGAGAGAGAGAGAGAGAGAGGAATAGCGCTCAACACACCCTCTCAAGGTCATGGTATTCTGAATCCATGGGTTTGGTCAAATCTGCATGAAAAAGGGTAAGTCCCATCTGCCTCTTGGGACGCTGGATTTGTCAACCTGTTTGAACAGTCCACGTTGATACGTCTTTTCAAGTGCTACGAAGAGGAAACCAGAGACGAGGATACATGGTATCTTCTGTAGATTTCTTCCTGCGGTAGCTTCATACCTGAAGTTCCGACTCCAAGGCGGCGAGGATAGTCGCAGGAATGATTCCTCTGATCCCTCCACCGTCAATACTGAGGATGGTAATGAGGTCTCCATTAGCCGGAGAAGGTAACTGGTTGGCGTTTGATCGACATTTCTCCATAGGCGGTTGCTCTCGAAGGTAAGACAGACCGGAAACAAGGCCTTTCATCGCTTCTTTTGAACCGATGAGATTTCGAAGCCGAAGGTTGACAACAATTGTGTCTGATGCTCTATATTTATAGCTCTCTCACGCTCCTTCCCTCATCTGTGCTACGGGTAACGTGAAAGAAGAAAAAGATGGGAGGCCTAGAGATGATAGTGAGTCCTCGACGACACCTCGTTGATTCCGCCGCCATCGCTGTTGACCGTAGAACAGGAATTGTAGGTGAGAAGTCTACGAACGTGTAAGGCGCTAGAGGTTAACAGCAGAATGGAAATATCATTCTTAGCCCGGCCTCAGTTGACACCCTGGCATGTGGAAGTGCAAATCGGTATATACCTATGTCATATCTAGGAGACGACCACCGGAAGACAAGTGAGAATCGCTTGGTGAACGCAAAAACATCTTTAACTCGTGAGACTTACCTAGGAAACAAGATAATCTCAGGTACCCGGAAAGAGATATAACCGACGGATGATCCCTACAGGAGATGAGATTGATATCACATAATTAAAATCGTATATATCCAGGTATATGCGCGTGTTGTGGCAACTTATCTTACCTTGGAAGGACCTGTTATCTTGGGGAGCGTGCAACTTATCCTTGGTTCAGGATAAGTTCAAGAGGGAAGATCTAATACTTTCTGACTGTGGTGTCCATTTTTTTAGGATTTAACCTTGCTGAATTTTTCCCTTTCTTGTTTCTCTTAAAAAAAAATTATATTATTATTATTCTGCTTGCGGTTTTTGTTTACTTCCCTAATACTTATATTGAGACATAATATTAAATAAAATGATGCACTAGTGGCTATTCTTTATTTTTCGCTTTTATCTTTGGAATAACACAAGTTGACTCACGTGGGTTATTCTTCAAAGACCAGAACACTTACTGACTCATTGAACGCCGCCGGACTTCCCTCCCTCGGAGAAAGTCATCGGTCTGGGTGTTGGAAGACGTGTTTGCCGCCAATAATTATTCGCACGGACACGTCACTCTCTCTCTCTCTCTCTCTCTCTCTCTCAAGAATTGTAGGTGAGACCAGGTCAACCAGGTACTTGGTAGCTGATACGTCCATGCAATGAACACGTGGGTTAATCTAAGTATAAATCCTCCGTTCACTGAATGAGTCTTTCTAGCTCTCATTTTTAGCGGCCTTCGAAGAACCCTAAAACCTAACGAGGAAAGGTTTCTTCAAAGGATTGAAGCTCGGGGAACCACTGGAGTTGAAGAAAAGAACGAAAGGGGCCAAGAGAGGATCTCCAAGGATGAAAGAAGCTCCCCCTCTTCCTCTAAGCTTGGACCCACAGGTCTAAAAAAGACTATTAAGTCATATAGAGGCCAGTCCTTCTTGGAAGATCGATGCATGAGAAAAAAAAATTGAGGGAAGGGAGGGAAAAGGGGAGGCAGTTGAGCAATTTTGTAGTTATTGTCCAGTTTAGTAATTTTATAGTCTTTCCTATTTATTATTGTCCAGTTGAGCAATTTTATTACCTTTCTTCTTTAATTAGTGATTGTCCAGTTGAGCAATTTTATAGTCTTTCTTATTTAATCAGTAATTCTTCAGTTGAGTAATTTTATAGGCATTTTTTTCTTTTATGTAAGCAAGCCAAGCATGACAAGAATTCAAAGAACAAAAACTAATCTTAAGACAAAGTAAACTAGTAAGAAATGGAAGTATGGAGGTTCTAATCTCTATCTAATGGAGACTTAGAGATGTCTAAATATGAAATGAGTTTTTCTAATCTCTAAACTAGACTATTTTAGACATTGAATATGCTTTTGTGATTGTTCTAATCATTTTCCAACAAGTTTAAGAATTTATGCCTCAGGTCGTAGCTGCTTCATCAACGGTTGTGATACAACAACCCAATCGTCACTTGCGGGAGTGAGGAGGCAGCCTTTTGGCAGAAGAAGGATCTGATGGCTCAAGAGAGAGTTCACGAGAAGGGAGTCCACTGATTCAATAGAGTGTGGCCTTGTAGGAGAAGAATCCACTAGAACCTTTTAGTAATTTCTCTTACACGTGTGAGAGGTGAGTGAGAGAGGAGAGAGAGGGAACACTACCCTATACATTTGGGAAAACCTTATGTCACGAACAGCTTGATGATTGAATAGGATTGAGACCAACAAAGTTAATGCTAAAAGCTCATGAAAACAAGAGGGAAATCAAGGCCTAGTCAATGACATTCTCGTGCCCAAGATCATCATGGAGAAGAGATTACTTGGAGTGCATCAAGATCGTCACAGATCAAGCATAACTCGACCTAAGACTGACACACAATGAGATTTGTGCAAGATCTAACTTTGAGGGGTCCTTATAATCCTCTCTATAGATAGATTAATTTTAAATTTTTGAACTAGTTTTATCATTTGTTCTATCATTCTATTTTGTTAGATTCATTCTCTCTCCTTTACCACGCTTTTCATAACTCTTGTCTTCACCCTTTTACATTTAACTTTGACCATCACAATCTCAAGTATATATATATATATATAAAATAAAATAAGTAAAATTCTTACTCTCATTACCCATGCTCCATAATGATCAACCCTTATCCTAAATAAAAAAGTGAGGTTTTATAAATATTATTTACATGAATTTTATTGCATCATGATGACATAATTAACCTACAATTTGAGTTCATCAATGATCTACCTCACCGTCACTTGCCCCGATATCATGTACACAATTAGTGTCGTTACCCAGTTCATGCAGCAATGTCAACAAGTTTACTAGAAAAGAGTTTTACAAGTTCTAGCATACATCAAAAGAGTTCTTAGGAGAAGATTTATCTATCAAAGACATGGGCATCTTTGAATTGAAGCCTACTTGGATGTAGGATATACTAGTGGCAAAAGAGATCGTAAGTCCACCACTGATTATTACACATATGTGGGTGGCAACCTTATCACGTGGTGCTACAAGAAGAAGTTACTCTAGTGCTAAGTCCGAGTATTGTGCCATGGTTGAGACAGCGCAAGAGTGGCTCAATTCACTCTTTGAAGACTTTAGCATCTCATCTCCTACACCAATATCTATGTACTTTGATAATTAGGCCACCATCTTCATTACTAAGAATCCTACATTTTATGAGCAGACGAAGCACATCGAGATTGACTATCTAGAATTAGATAACATCAGGTATTATCTCGACTCTGTACATTGTCTCATCTCATTAGTTCGCCGACATCTTCACCAAGAGTCCTACAGGGATCTCCTACGATGCAATGGGCACCAAGCTATATATGCTTTACTTGTATGCTCTAATTTGAAGAGTGTTATAATAGGCTCATTCGGCCCACCAGGCCTATTTTGGACTTATTCTCTCCACATTTCTATTTTTCATCCACTATCTCCACTTTTTTTGCTCTCTCTCTCTCTCTTTCTTCGTTTTCTTCTATATAATTTCATGTACTCTTCTTCTTCAACATATTAATTCTAAGGTTTTCTCTTCTTTTTGAAGCTTAGAAACCTCAATAATTCACTTGTTCTGACTCTAAACTTCTCCTTTCAACTCATGCATAAGTAGATGGGTCTTTGTAGCCGTCTCTCTCACCCTACTTCAATATGAGGCTAAGTCTCCATAGTCTTCATCCCATCCTTTGTTCTCAACAACATGAACCTCACAGTAGACCTCACTTGCACATTTGCTGCCTATGCCATGTATTTTATGATGGCCATCACTCTTAATAGTATCTCAAACACCCATTGAGAAACACAATGAATAAGGTATGACAAGGAACCCTCACTTTGTATTAGTGAGGGAAATGACCTATGCATACATGACTCATGAGAGAGATTGGCACCAATTGAGATAGATTGGGCCTTAGCTCCTTGAAGGGTTACTCCCCATAAAAGAAAGGAAAGTGTGGTTTACTAAGTAGTTTGAGTTATGGTCTTGACAGCTTGTTGTTGTTGGACAAGATGGCTTATGTTGACCCATCATTATTTATACCAAAGGTATGTGAGCTGACTATCTAAAGAGAGAGAGAGAGAGAGAGAGAGAGAGAGAGAGAGAGAGGTGATAGGTGTATGCTAAATGGTTGGGATTGTAGCCTAGGCTTGTAAAGATGGGTAGTTTCATTAGAGATCAATGGGGGCTGAGGCCTTCATTTCTCTTCCCATTCCCCAATCTTGCGTCTTCTTAAGTGGGAGCTCTTATAGAGCTTCATCATCTTCATCTATTTTTTAGGGAGGGAAGTGAGGGAGAGAGACATCCATGTGATTCCTTGATTAAAGAAGAACATATTGATGGACACTACTTCTCATTTGGGTCTATGGGCCATCCTAGTCTAACCTAGTCTAGCTTTTTTCCTCACAGTTCTTCAAATTAAGCCTTAACTTATTTTTGAAATAGACAACTCGCACACACTCCCTTTCCAAAATAAATCAATACACCAAGTACTACGCTTAGATTTATTGGATTTGTTGCTAAAAGCATAAATTCGAGAGGCCCCTACCAGCACTTTGTTAATTGTGTATATTATTATAATTCTTAGCAAATATTTTATGTCAAATTGAAGAATAAGTTCATCTCATATTTAAAAGAACTTCTATATCATAAAAAGTATTAAAAATTTTAAACCCAGCATGTCATAAGAGCTATGATACAAATTGTTCAATTTAATGTATTATAATGTTCAGATGCACTATAAATCATGAATTTCATGAAAGTAACTTGAAATCAAAATCATTTGTTAACAAGAGGAAGAGAAAACCCTAGAATTGATATCTTGAAAAAGAGGAGTACATGAAGTTATAAGGAATGAAATAAAGAAAAAGAGAGAGAAGAAGTGGAGATAGTAGATGAAGAATAGGTGACATAAATTAATCGTTGTACAATAAATGATGTAAATTTAAAATTTATAAAACTAGAAAATACTAATTTTTAGATATTTAAAATTATTTCTAAATAATATATCAATTATAATTTGATAAAAGTACCAAAAATAGTAAAAAT